TTCCAGGGTTCAGAACATCACCGGGGCACTGCATGCTTTGACAGTCAATCATTCATACACAGACTTACTATTTTTCCAAGCTTATTGAGGTATGATCAACAAAAGCTATATGTATTTAAGGTGCATAACTTGATGTTTTTGTACACAGTTACATTGCGAAATGAGTGCTACAATCAAGCTAATTAATGCATCCATCAACTCACATGGTTCATGTGTGTGTGTGTTGGTAATATTTAAGACCTACTCTCTCAGCAAATTTCAAGTGTATAATACATTAACTACAGTCACCGTGTTATACTTTAAATCACCAGAATGTATTCATCTTACAACTGAAACTTTGGGAAATAGAAAGTCAATTCTATACACCTTGAGCATCTACAGAAGCCATCCTGGCAGCTCTTAAATCAGTCCTGTACAGGCCGAGTGATGGCCTTGACTACCTGCCTCCATATCTTTCTACCCGCCTTGCTACCTGGGACCCTGGGCAGGGCACTTGCCTTCTCTAAGCTTTCTTTTCCTCATCTGTAAAATGGTGCATTGCTTAGTTGATTGAATAAATTAATATATATATATTTTAAAAAGAAAAAGAAAAAATACTGCCCAGTTACCTAATAAGAATAACCAAAAATTCCTGTGAATCATTGCCTTCTTCCCTGGAAAGCCAATGAAAAAGAAAAAGTCTAAAACAGAAGTAAAACCCAATATAAAAATAATTTTTAAAATTAACTCATGTAAACCTGATATACTTTTGAAAAGCACAGTCATACTACTATGTTTATTTATCCAGGTCTTTCACCAATAGAAATCCCCTCTACTCATTATGTACTAGTTGATCTCTTAAGGAATAAATAATTTTTTTCTTTTTTTTTTGAGCTGGAGTCTCGCTCTGTCGCCCAGGCTGGAGTACAGTGGCGCAATCGCAGCTCACTGCATTCTCTGCCTCCCAGGTTCAAGCGGTTCTCCTGCCTCAGCCTCCTGAGTAGCTGGGATTATAGGCATTCGCCACTACCCCCAGCTGATTTTTATATTTTTTTTAGTACAGACAGAGCTTCACGGTGTTGGCCAGGCTGGTCTCGAACTCCTGACCTCAGGTGATCCATCCACCTTGGCCTCTCAAAGTGCTGGGATTACAGGTGTGAGCCACTGCAACCAGCCTCAAGTTTATACATTATTCTTTTAATCAAAACTGACTTACCTTTATTTCCATTTTTTTCCTAAAAATAGTGAACTTGTATAATATTTGACCCTCCTTAATAGGAAGACCATTTTAAAAAGCACTTAGTGAGTATATGTATTATGGCCAAACTGCACCAAAAGGGAAATTTGTGACTTTTGACATGTTAGCCTTTAATTCCAAAACTAATGGCTTGTTTCATTGCCAAATAAACATTGAAGAATGTTAGTATATCAAAAGAATGATTATTTTAAAATGCTAATGCTGGGATTGAAAACAGAAAAGCAAAGACAAGTGCAATTCATCTTTCTTTTTATATGCTGACATCCCCTAATGAGGGCAAATAGCTCTGTACAGTTCTTCAGTAAAACCATAGGCATGGGAAGAGACAGCTAAGCTAATAATTGGCAGGGCTCTGCACAAAATGAAAATCTAGGCCCCTTGTTCAAGACACAGAGTAAAAAAGGTTTTTCCTTTCTTCCATGATTCTCTCTTGACATGCTATGGTGGTTTTTATTTCTATCTAATGCTATACTTCTATCTAATGCACCAGAATACCAATCAGGGAAGTGTTGAGCCTCACAGGAGTTGCAGCTGTGAATGCCCCCAACTTCCTTCATCCTCTCCCAAGCTCCCACCAGGCTGGGGCTAAGAACCCCTTCCAGGGAGGCAGGTGGTGGAAGGAGAAGGAAAGCAGCACCACATGGAAGCCAAGCCTTCTTTGTCCCATTGGGCTTCAGGTACAAGACACAAATTCCGCAATAAAATCATTAAGTAAGCAACTGTGATCAAAAAAATATCTGAGACAAGTCTCAACCAATTGAGTTTATCCTGTTGGGATTAAGGATGCACCAGTCACACAACCTCAAGAGGTCCTGACAACATGTGCTCAAGGTGGTTGGGGCACAGCTTCGTTTTAAACATTTTAGGGAGACACAAGACATCAATCAATAAACCTTAAGATGTACATTGGTTTTGTCCAGAAAGGCAGGACAACTCAAAGCAGGGGCTTCTGAGTCACAGGTAGATTTAAAGATTTTCTGATTGGCAGTTGGTTGAAAGAGTTATTGATAGAAAGGAATGTATGGGAAATTAGCCTTATAAAGAGTACACCAGCAACTTAAACTCAGATCCCTTAACTGGTGCCACAAGATGTGAAACTCCTAAGGCAGGACTCCCTGGAGCCTGCAGCCTTTCTTCATTTACCATTCTCCCAATGGTGTATGTAGCAACACTGTAAACTGGAAGTGCCTCCTGCTTTATAATACTAAAACAAAGGACTAAAAACAAATTTAGAAATTTATATTCTCTTTTAAGGCAGGCTCTTTTTTCTTAGGTGGACTTGTTTTTAGAATGGGAAAGTGATTTGGCTTATTCAATAAAGGTGAATCCAGCTCAGAGTCCCTTACATCTGGCAAATCTTATTTTTACTTTCCTGAAAAGGAGCTCTAGAAATTACCGGTCCCAGTCCAAATATCCAAAAACTATGAACACTTCCTATAACACCAAAAACTCCCAAATCTTTGACCACAGCAGGAAGCACAATCACTAATGTCGTAAGTGTGGTTTAAAAGAGCATTAGTTTAATAATTAATACACCTGCAGAATCAATTACAGCAAATGAAAAAGCAAGATACATAAAAGGAAACTGACTTGTAAACACACCCAAGCAAATACAAGTGGATTTTATTTTTTTATACTCAGAATGCAACAATGCTTTGCACCATTACCCTTAGACATTCATGAACTCACTAAAAAGAAACAGAAAATGTCCTCAGAAGATGGGGGGAAGACCTATGAACATGTTTATAGAATCAATATGTCTGTACTATAGTGTACATAGGTAATTAGAAAATACTTTTCAGTGTGTTTAAAATATTTTATCTCAAACTTACCATTTGACAATGAATTTTCACTTAAGGGTTTGAGATTATCCAATCAGCTGTACTCAAAAGTGGCAAATACTTGAAGATCATTGATATAATTTAAAATTCTGAGTGCTGAGTTCAGTTTCTTACTGAATCTAACCAGTACCCTGGGCTTTGTACAGCAATTTACTTGTCAATATCTCAAAGTGACCAGGAACAGTGGCTCACACTTGTAATCCCAGCACTTTAGGAGGCTGAGGCCAGGAGCTCAAGACCAGCTGGGGAACATAGTGAGATCCTGTCTCTCCAAAAAAAATTTTAAGTATATACTTTTTAGATAGGTGTGGTAGCTCACCCTTGGTACCTGGTGGCTCCCAGCATTTTGGGAGGCTGAGGACAGGAGGCTCATCTGAGCCCAGGAGTTCAAGACCAGCCTAGGCAACATAGCAAGACTCCGTCTCTAAAAAAATAAAATAATTAGCCGGGGTATAGTGGCACAAACCTATAGTTCCAGCTACATGGGAGGCCAGAGCAAAAGGATCACCTGAGCCTAGGAGTTTGAGGCTGCAGTTGAGCTATGGACTGCACCACTGCACCCCAGACAGTAGATTAGAAATGTTGGTGAGAAGGTATCTTAATGGATGGGCAAGATGGACAGCAGCTATAGTAATTATTCATAGCATCACTCTAGACATTAAAAACTAGATCTTATGTGACAGGGCTGTGAAAATGCTTTTGTCAAAATTTAAAATTACAAATTAACAACTATGAGGTTGCAGGCACAGGGGTCACACTGATGGAGGTATAAACCCTACTCTCAAGTAATGAAAGGTCCAAAACACAAACAGGTAAGTATGTAAGATTAATTCATTCAAGGATCAAACAAATGCCTCTTTGCATCCAATTCCACATTTTATTAGTTTGCAGCAGTGATACTATAAAATGTGAGCTTTAAAGAACTCTGGTTACATTTTCAATCTTTTCCTTTCTCCGTACTGTTCTATTTCCCCCCAATCCACTCCTAATTTTAACTTCTTTCTTCTACAAAAAACCTAAATATGCCAATTTTACTCTTCTGTTTCTTCCAGTTAGTAAAATCAATGAAATCATAATTTAAAACAAAATTACAAATTATCACACAATATGAAGCAATATGAAATTCCTGGTGATTCCAGTGGTTTTGATCTATTAAAGCAGCAATTTAATGATTCATCAGTCACTCCCAAGTCCTTGCTTTTACATTTTTAAATGCGGATTTTATATATTTAGAAATTAAGTACAATGACAGCAATATTGGCAAGTAACCTGTTGATTTCTAATTTATAAGTCTGAGAGCTGTTTCCCAAACTTGAAGCCTAACAGCCAATCTGATCCAAATCCTATCAATCTTTCTGTCATTGTCAGCTACTTACTGAAATAGTAAGATTTCATTTCTACTTGGAAACAAAATATTTAACCTGAGTTTCCAACATTCAAAATATTGCTATTTAGATGTCAGATGCTTAACATTTCATGTCGAAGTTTCACCTGAATGACCCGACATACCATAGAACATACTACTCAGCAACAGAAAAAAACAGTCAACTGACACACAGGGATCGATCGCAAAAATCTGCAGAGTGGAAGAAGGCAGAGTACCTACTGCAGTATTCCATTTACATGAATTCTAGAAAGGATAGATCTAATCAATGGTAACCAAAAGCAGATCTGTGGCTGCCTAGGCTAGGGGTAGAGGAATTGATTGGGAAAGTGGGTATGGGAATTTTGGGGGCAATGAAAATATTTATATCTTGATGGTGATGGTGGTTACACAGAGGTATGAATCTGTCAAAACCCAATAACATATATACTTAAAAAGGGTGCAATTAAATATATGTAAATAGTACCTCAATTCTGTTGATTTACAAAACACAACATGACAGTATATTTTAAATTAAATGAAACATGAATAACTTTTTAATTAATGTGTTATGGATAAAGCTAAAGTTCCCTTTGACCACTCTCTCAATCCTGATTTGCACCCCAATCTCTCATCTATACCCCCTACTCGCTGTTACAACTTTGGTATGGATTCTTCTGAACCTTTAAAAATATATTTACATACATTATATAGCCAGAGAAAATGCACAGTATTGTTTTGTATGTATATATACTTTGTATATAACTTTCTATAACTTGTTATTTTCACTGAGCACTATGTTTCTGAGACCAATCCAGGTTAATATGGATCTAGATTACTTCTTTTAACTCTAATACAGTAATCTATCCTATGACTACATTATATTTTATTTGTCAGGCCATTTCTCTTCAATATTTAGATTGTTTTTCCCTATTACAATTCACCAGTGTAGTGGTAAACAGTAGTCACCACTGGCGTGACGACAGGAACTGCAGACAGTGTTCAAAGGGTTAGCCTTATTTATAAGATGTAGTTTTTTGCAATGAGAATATATTCATGTTTAATTTACATATGATAAATATTGATTTTTTAAAGAATTTTGAGATACATATATAAGCAAAAAAGAACAAAACAAGATCAGTTATAGGAAGCAAACCATCTATTAAAATATAAGGAAAACAAAGTTGTAGGGCATAAGAGTGTACTAACGGTTTGAAGTATATTTATTGGAAAATAATAAGCACTAAACAGATCATAAAAACATTCTCCTATGCAAAGCAATTCCAATTAATATATCAGCATATTGGTTATCATGGCATAAGCATAATTAATACATGTACAAGTACTTCATTTATATTTTTTGCTTTCTTCTTTTATGACTATGATGTCTTTCCCCATCCCTGAAACAAAAGAGGTACCAAAAGAAATGGTTATAAATGATGGACATTTTAATATCAGAGCTTTAAAATAATTCAACAGTAATATATACCACTTTCATATCCTATTTGAAATGAATTTTCTAGTTATCATTTACATATACATTACAATTAATTTTAAAGCAGAACTTCAAAGCATAATTTTAAAAAAATCATTATTATTATTCCTATTTCAGTTTTGTCTGTTAGCGTTTTTTTTTTTTTTTGAGATGGAGTTTTGTACTTATTGTCCAGGCTGGAGTACAGTGGCACGATCTCAGCTCACTGCAACCTCTGCCTCCCAGCTTCAAGTGATTCTCCTGCCTCAGCCTCCTGAGTAGCTGGGATTACAGATATGCACCACCTTGCCTGGCTATTTTTTGTATTTTTAGTAGAGACAGGATTTCACCATGTTGATCAGGCTGGTTCTGAACTCCTGACCTCGGGTGATCTGCCTGCCTCGGCCTCCTGAAGTGCTGGGATTACAGGCGTGAGCCACTACACCCAGCCTGTCTCTTAGTTTTCATAATGCATTTTTCATATATACTCTTTAAAAAAAAAATCACTGTTAAATTCTAAATGAATGTTTTACTTGTTCCAGTTTATGTGAGATAAACCAAGTACCTATAATTCAGTCCACCCCAGGTGTGTATATCAAAGATTAGCCTGTTGAAAAGTATTTCTTGTTTATATCCAGTTTCTCTTCTTTAAATAAAAATTATTTAATGTTTAGATTTTTGAGGACTTCTAATGTATTTGAGTCAATAGGGATTGATTAGAAATGTCAAAAATTACTTAAGTAGAAGAAGCACTACCAAACCTGAAGGAAGTGAAAGAGCACAATTTTAATAATCAAGAATTAGTTTGTGTATGTATAATTATTATAAAATAGCATATGAATCCAAAAGGACTACTAAGCAAATATTTCATTTGTATAAGAAAAGGACTAAGTCATAGCTGGCTTTACACCTAATTAACTGAATGATAGTAAGATGAACAAAATCATCAAACCAATACAATAAGCTTTAATTCCTGATTACCAGTGGCCCTGGAGAGACAGGATATTATTTGATAGCCTAATATTTGACAGCACTGTGTGTATAAAACGAAGTAAGATACAGACCTTGCCTTCATGGGGCTCACAGTCTAGTAGTGATAATAACCATTAAACTCAAGAACAAATATGAGCTAGGTAGGGTGGTGACAAAATGGAAAAGATGATCAGCTTTGCTTGAATGAGTGGGAAAAAGGCTTCAGGAAATGGCTGAGATGGGTGTTAAAAGATGAGGAGGAGTTTATCAAGCAGGCTTTTAAAAAGAGGTAGGCAGCAGAACACAAAGTGGAAAGGCATTGATGTGGCACAGTGTGGATGAGGAACTGTAAGTAACTCAGGCTGGCTAGAGCACAAGTTATGCATTTCATGGGGTGGTAGCAAAATACAAGTAGGTAGGAGCCAGGATCCCAGAAGTCTTGAGAGCCATTCAAAAGAATGTGAATTTTGCCACTTAAGAGTTCTCACTTTTTTTTTTTTTGAGACGGAGTTTCACTCTTGTTACCCAGGCTGGAGTGCAATGGCGCAATCTCGGCTCACTGCAAACTCCGCCTCCTGGGTTCAAGCAATTCTCCTGCCTCAGCCTCCTGAGTAGCTGAGATTACAGGTGCGTGCCACCACGCCCAGCTAATTTTTGTATTTTTAGTAGAGACGGGGTTTCACCATGTTGCCCAGGATGGTCTCAATCTCTTGACCTCGTGATCCACCGCCTCGGCCTCCTAAAGTGCTGGGATTACAGGCATGAGCCACCAAGCCCAGCAAGTTTTCACTTTTTCTGAGATAGGGTCTCACTTTGTTGCCCAGGCTGGCATGCAGGGGCACGAACATGGCTCACTGCAGCCTTAACCTCTCAGGCTCAAGCAATCTTCCTGCCTCAGCCCCTCAAGTGGCTGGGAACACAGGTGTGCACCACCATGCCAGGTTAATTTTTGTATTTTTTGTAGAGATGAGGTTTGGCCAAGATTCCAGGGCTGGCCTTGAACTCCTGAGCTCAAGTGATCCACCCAGCTTGGCCTCCCAAAGTGTAGGGATTACAGGTGTGAGCCACCAAGCCAGACCGCCAGTAGAGTCCTATGAGTTGACTATTCATTCTAGCAGTATACAAGGGATAGAATCATATGCAGTAAATTTAGAGACAAGTAGAACAATTAGGAAAATGACCATCATTTCATTAGGAACTGACCAGACACTAAGGAGTGGAAGGAAGTATCTAAAATGACTCCTTGATTTCTGGCTTAGGTAATAGATGGGAGTCATCTCTTTAACCAGGATAGGAATGCTGGAGAAAAGGGAGCAGACTGAGAAAAAGGTAAGTTTAGTTATAGGCTCAATGAACTTGAGATCTAGGTACATGCCTTGTAAGCAGCTGGAGTACAGAAATATGCTTCAAATGATTTACATTTACTATTCGGTATTAATTCATATCTCTTGAGCTATCAAAATTTTACCAACAAGGACCAAATTGACTGACAAAATTTAGATCTTCTCTCTGACCCCATATACCCTTAATTGACGAATTGGAAGAAAAAAAAGAGAAAGAATGGCCGGGCGCGGTGGCTCACGCCTGTAATCCCAGCACTTTGGAAGGACCAGGCGGGTGGATCACGAGGTCAAGAGATCGAGACCATCCTGGTCAACATAGTGAAACCCCGTCTCTACTAAAAATACAAAAAATCAGCTGGGCATGGTGGCGCATGCCTGTAATCCCAGCTACTCAGGAGGCTGAGGCAGGAGAATTGCCTGAACCCAGGAGGCGGAGGTTGCGGTGAGCCGAGATCGCGCCATTACACTCCAGCCTGGGCAACAGAGCGAGACTTCATTTCAAAAAAAAAGAGAAAGAATAAGAGAAAGGAAGGAAGGAATGAGCAGAAGAAAAGGATCTAGGAAAACACCTGTTTAACACAGTTACATCCTACTTAGACATTACTTTCATATGTCCTATTTAGGAAGCAAGCAAGTAAGAGATAAAAAAGAGAAACCAATATCCAATCACACATGTAGAGAACTATGTCACTAGAGTGATGATTATTTGAACTGAACTATAATGAATGTTAGGAATCATCATCAATTGTTTACTCTCCTTACTTTAACTTCTTTTTTTTTTTTTGAGATGGAGTCTGACTCCATCGCCAAGGCTGGAATGCAGTAGCATGATCTTGGCTCACTGCAACCTCTGCCTCCCAGGTTCAAGCAATTCTCCTGCCTCAGCCACCTCAGCTGGGACTACAAGCGCGCACCACCACACCGGCTAATTTTTTTGTATTTTTAGTAGAGATGGAGTTTCACCGTGTTAGCCAGGATGGTCTCAAGCTCCTACCTTGTGATCCACCCACCTTGGCCTCCCAAAGTGCTGGGATTTCAGGCGTGAGCCACCTCGCCCAGCCTCTAACTTATTCTTAAAATCTATTTTCTCAGCATGGTCTACAACAGAAGAGCCTGTTCTACTTCTAAAAAATAGAGAATTCAGTGTTGGATGATGCAAGGTTAGACCCACCTCTCTTTCCTTCTTCTCGACTCACAGTTTTTATCCTTATCTTTATTTCTTTTTCGTTTATGTGGGCTTCTACTCCGATCCCTTCTATGTCGTGAACACTCAGCATCCAAATAGCTTCCACCAGACTGTCGTGAATCTACTGAACCTGATCTCCTTTCTTCATTCCTAAAACACAGAAAAGAATGTTAATCAGTTTGTTTTGTCACTTGTCTCCAGTATACACACACAGACACACCAGCCTAAAGTGCAATATTCTATATCAAACTAATGGTAGATATGGTCTAAATATGCACAATCTTATAACCCGTATCAGACGACAAAGAAACACAACTCTTAACCCATTTATGCCTGAGGTTGCAAGCTTTTGAATTTTTGCAATAAGACCTTGGCGATGACCTTGAGCAGTAGGATATAAACAAGGCCTACATGCCTGGCGTCCCAATAATGGAATACTAGGCATAAATGTTAATATGTTTTGCTATTTAAATATTTCACTAACATGCTTGTCCCCTGAAAACTGTCAAAGGGTAATGTCAGAACAACTCTGGTATAACAAATCTGAGAACACTGACAAAAAACAATAAGCATTTTGATGAGTATACGGTGTGCTATCAAGGGTTTTAGAAATGCTAAAATTTAACAATTATAACTAAGAGATTGAAGAGAGTATTTCCACCAATAAAGATAATGACATACTTTTCAGCATCATCGTCTGTTTTCTCTTGCTCTTCTTGCCAGTGATTGCTGAGTTCTTCCATGTGCACATTTATCACATCTCGAATCACCTTAGGAGAGGTAAGCACCGAATTTCAGGTAAGAAAACTGCTCAAAAAATTAAGACTATAATGCTAGAAAAACCAGTGCTAATAATCAAATATTTACTAAGCACTATGACATAAAAGACTGTGGGACATGTGTAGTTCAGAGAACACAGAAAAGGCAATGGTCAAACTGGAATATGAATAGTAGGTTAAAGTTTTATAGCAATATTAAATTTGAAGTTGCTAACTGTACTAACTTTATGTAATAAAATATCTCTTAGGAAATACATACTAGGGATAAAGGGGTCATGATGTATGTAATTTAACTCTTAAAGAATTCAGAGGAAAAATATGTATACATAGAGATCGAGAGAGTGAAAAATGTGCAGACAGAGAGTGCCAATGATAAGTTATGTGGCAAAATAACAGATCACAATGAGTGATCTGGGTAAAGGCAATAATGGGAGTTCTTGGAACTATTTTTAGTTTTGCAATTTATATCTCTGTCAGAGATTATTTACAAATTTTTAAAACCTTATAATTAAGTCATCTTGACTTAATCATATGACTTAATAAGACAAAATATGAAATGTACAGTCACTTCACAGATACTTTCCAAATAACACTATAAATCCCTTACCCATAAGAACCATTGGAAAGTTTTTCCTTTCCTATTTACTCATGCCACCAAGCACAGGATTAGTCACTGCAGAGGCAAAGACAAAACTAAAAGAGGAGCTTACACTTTCCTCATGATTAAACAGAAAATGTTTTCAGAAAAAAGGTATAGGGGGCAAAGGGCAATCTCAAAAACACTGTCATTCAGGCCTGACTGTGTTTCTCCCCACCTTAAAGAAACTTTCAATGGCTCCCAAAGTAAAATGGAACAATATCCAAACTCCTTAATGAAGCCTTCAAAGCCCTCCAGGATTTTACTACATCAGACAGAAATCAGCCTCTAGCCACCCTGGATTACTAATGAGTCTCTGAAAAACTCCTGTACTTTTATCTGCTTTTCAGAATGCTAGTTCTTCTACCCAGAAAATCCTTATCTTCCACCTCCCCTCCTCCATTATATTATCCCATGGAAAACCTAAGATATGCTAAGGTCCAACCTAGTGGAGTAACATTAGTCACACACACATATCTCAAGTTCCAGCTCTCGAGCCTCCCAGCAGGCCTACAAGCCTCCCTCCCTGTCAATAGCTCTACATAAGCTCCTTGAAGCCTGATGTCTGCACAGAACCCACCTAGCTCAGGTCTACCACATAAGAAAGAGTCAATAAGCAGACATTCCTTTACTCCTCCTGGCTTCTCCCTTTTCCTCAAAGGCTACCTTCTCTATGAAGTCCTTACCAATTTTATATTTCAATTTTTGAAGCTGGGTGATGGGTACATAAGAGTTCCTTAGACTATGCTATCCACTTTAGTATACGTTTGAATATTTCCACAATAAAAGATAAACTATAAAATCATAAAAAATACTAGCAGCAACATTTAAGCTTGAATACAAAGGTTATCAAGAGACCAGACTAAAAACAACTGATGAGCCAAGTATCTTAGGGAGTCTAAGAATCACCAAGGTAGTATGACAGGGACCCAGATCTCTACTTGCAAAGGTAAGTCTAATTTTACAAAGGTAAGTCTAAAGTCAGACTTTAATTGTAAAAAGAACAGCATAAAATTTAGAGCTAAGCTGTGTGGTACAGAATATTAGTACAATAAACTAATGATAGATGAGTCAACTAGCATCTCATGGGAATGGTGGCCCTTAAACTCAACAAGATTTAAAATGGCAAAAACAACATTTCAGGTAAGAAAATAATAGGTATTAGGGCATGGAGGTAAGAATAATTATATGCAATTAGATATAGTTTAAGAGACATGCTTGATTAAAGTGAAAGAAAATGCTTTGGAAAAGGAGGCCAGATTATGGAAGGTCTTTTAAATCAGAGAGAAGTAAGAAATAATATGGGAACAATTAGGGAATCGATGAGGAAATTATTTGTAGAGTCTGGGAAAGGTACCAAAAAAATTCACCAACTCTAATAAGCCATTAAATGGCATCTGAAAATAAGTCTAGATATATACCAAGAGACTAATGTATAATGTATATCAACACATTTCTTAAGCCCAAATATTACTAGAGTACATAAAAATATGCTAAGATTTCTACAAAAAAAGTAATAGCTAATATTCTTTGTTTTGCGTGTATTCTGTCAGTCAATTCTCGTAACAACCCTGCAGAGATTATATAATTATTATGAAAAGAAAACATTCAATCTAAAAAGCTCAAATAACTTGCTGAAGTCAAAGAGCCAACAAGAAAGGGCAGAATCAAAACTCAAGGTGAGGTCTACCTAAAGCCCAAACTCATGCTTTTACCCTGATACACTACTACTTTCTCACAAGGTGCTATCTTTTAAGATTGTATGACTGTTTTATATAAGGTTTTTGTACTATGAAAGCCTTTGCCTGCTGAAGGGTGAGTCTAGAGGTGATGGAACAGATACAAATCAGGTGTGGCCACACTGATGACACTTTTAGAAAATTTCCAAAGAATTGTGGAAATTCATAGAACAGATTTAGAAAATTACCTAAGGGAAATTTTTGTTATCAACAAAGATTATGTAAAACTTACCTCAGTATAGGATTTCTTGGTTATGTGAACATTCTTAGCTCTATAGGACTGGCGTCTTCTTTTATAATCTCTTACTTCTGCCAGAATTTCAAGATAGGATTTTGGACTTTTTCGACTATTATCTAATGAAAGAATAAAATTATTGTAACCTCCAAAGCTTTTAAATTCTATGAATTATCAAATAAACACATCACAATCCTGTATTTTAACTTGTTTAGAGTAGCACACAAAACATTCTAAATAAACACTGTGTATTATCTCTATACATGGGCTAAGTTTTCTATCATTCCTTTTCTCTAGCCATTAGCTGAACATAAGAGTGCTTAGGTACATAGATTAAAGTAACAACAGAGTTGTAATATTCTTTTTTTTTTTTCTTTGAGACGGAGTCTCACTCTGTCACCCAGGCTAGAGAGCAATGGAGCGCTCTTGGCTCATTACAACCTCTGCCTCCTGGGTTCAATCGATTCTCCTGCCTCAGCCTCCCAAGTAGCTGGGACTATACGTGCACACCACCATGCCTGGCTAATTTTTGTATTTTTAGGAGGGATGGGGTTTCACCATGTTAGTCAGGCTGGTCTTGAATTCTTGATCTTGTGATCTGCCCACCTCAGCCTCCCACAGTTTTAATATTCTTACAGAAAGAAGGTACATTTAATGTAAAAGTCAGAGCAAAACCTCAGGTACCGAGTAAATATCCCTCAGTATCCATGGAGGATTGTTCAGGAACCCCCAAGGATACCAAGATCCATGGATGCTCAAGTCTCTGATATAAAATGGTATAGTATTTACATATAACCTACACACACCCTCCCATACACTTTACATCTAAATTACTTTCTTTTTTTTCCTTTCTTTTCATCTCCTCCCCAAATTAAAGGATAAATTACTTTCAATACCTAATAGAGGCCAAGCACAGTGGCTCATGCCTGTAATCCCAGCACTTTGGGAGGCAAAGGTGGGAGGATCACTGGAGGCCAGGAGTTTGAAACCAGCCTGGCCAACGTGAGGAAACCCCATCTCTACTGAAAATACAAAAATTAGCCAGGCATGGTAGCGTATGTCTGTAATCCCATTTACTCGGGAGGTTAAGGCGCAAGAATTGTTTGAGCTTGGGAGGCAGAGATTGCAGTGAACTGAGACCGCACTTCTGCACTCCAGCCTAGGCGACACAGGGAGACTCTGTCTTTTTTAAAACAAAACAAAAACCTAATATGATGTAAATGCTGTATGAATAGTTGTTAATATATTGTTTAGGGAATTTTGACAAGAATAAAAAGTCTCTACATGTATAGTACAGAGGCAACTACCCATTTTTACTTTTTCCAAATATTTTCAATTCATAGTTGGTCAGATTGATGGATGTGGAACCCACAGATACAGAGGGCCAACTGCATGTCAATATTAAACATTACAAAACCACTTTATTCTAAGGCCAAGTGGCCTGACAATTAAATCATCTTAATAATACTCAATAAAATGATAATGAAGAAATGTAAAGCTATGATGTGCATCTCAAACCTTGATTGATTTTGGCAGCCAAGTCTACAAAGAGATCACTATCATTTTCAATGATCTGAGAATCAGAGCGCTTTTTCTTTGTCTCCTCAACTACGAAATCATACAGGGCAAGACGATCAGCTTGAGTTAGATCACAAACAAACCGTTTGTGATTCAGAGGAACTTCAACAGGCAATGAAGAATAAATCCCTAAAGTAAAAATAAAATCACAAGAATAAACAATACATGAAGCATTGTGAACATAAAATCTAATTATCTTTAAACATGTGCTTTCATAATGCAATTATTAAAAAATTTTTTTCATAAGAATCCCTAACTATACAAAATATCAACCTATGCAATAAATGACAAACAACAATTCTATCCTGAATGTAATATCCATGAAAAAAAAATGAATTATGGATGTTTGCTATTCTCTCCAACAATAATAAAGACAGATCCCAGGAAGGCAGGCAGGAATAACCGTAAGAGACAATTTGCTCTATGAAAACCTTTTGGGTAACAATTTTTAAAAGGCTACCCATCTACGAAAGTAGTTATCTGTTGATATGCTTTTCGCCATCAAAGTTGGGAAAAAATGCTTTTAATAAGTAATATGCATTATAGTCTCTTTGAAAATAAACTATGGAAATATTAAAAACTGTGTAAAAAATATCTTTTTGTATGAGACATCAAGTTAGATGGTCAATATTCAAAATATATTACACTTGTGCAAGGACTTAGAGCTAGGGGCCAAAAAATAATTAATTAAGTAGCAGAAGTCCAACATCTCCTCAGGCCAGAAAAAGACAGATTAAACTGAAACTAAACTCATTTTAATTTCCTAAGGAGGAAGCACAGTGGCTTAACCAAATTAATTGAAAAAAGTTAATAGCAGTGCCCCCCAGTAGTTACAGAATTTTCTAAAATCTGCTCATTAGTGAAAAAAAAGGAAATACAATACCTTGATACGATGTATTAAACACTGAAGAAAATTTTTGTTTTGAGATTCAAATTTTCTCAAATAAAAAAATGATTGGAACTGTAAAAAAAGCAATTTAAAACAATTCTTTCTAGACTTCATTATTCACTAATGCAAACAAAGAACATGAGCTACTAAAGGAATCCTTTCATTGTTTGCTAACTTATTCTAAAGTAGTAACTGGTTCATAGAACAAATAAAATCAGTAGCTCTTTCCAGATACTTATATTTGATAAAGTCTAACCTCATTAAGTTCCTAGGTAGAGGCAAAAGAATTCAAATAAGACCATACTATGAACTAAGCATTACAACAAAAAAGAGGTACTATTTGTCTACATATTAAGAGGAGAGCTGCAATGAATCTGAGGCCATGGTTTAACAGGGCTATTGATAACAATATATGGCCATTTTTACTAGTCAAAGAATTTTGAATTAGTGGGAAAAAAGGGTTCCCTTTCAAGTCAATCAATTTTATTCTAATTATAGTAGGCATTTTATAATACAAAATTATAAAAACAACTTTGATAAGCCTAATTCCTTTGAATATAGGCTATAAAAATTTGGGAGAAAAAGATTAGAAAATAATGATGTATTACAAACAAGCTCCACATAAACCTTTGCCTATTATTTTTAAACAAAGAAATATAATTTCCTTCTTAAATTATTTTAGCACTTTCTTCAATTTATTCATCTTAAATTTCTTTATGATGAAGACTGATACTTAAATTCCTTGAAATTCAACCAAAATTCCAATTCAAGACTATAATATGTGACAGGTATTAAGATAAAGTTTAGAAATTTGAGTGATACTTTTAAAAGGATATCATTTGCAAAAAGGATACTGAATATCTTTAAATAAGGAGTACACTCAGGTTCCTAATTCCTCTTTATACTCACCCCAATTACTGAAAAAGAAAAAGTACAGGAAAGGTTAAGCAACAAACTGCATTCAGTTCATTCGGAACACAGATATTTCTGACAACAAAAAGGATAAACATACTTAAATAAACTTACATTTACATAAGATGTAAATTTTCAAAATGCACGTTTCTAAGTGATCTAAAGGTACATATGAATGTTCTGTAATTATAATAATTCTATGACCCTTTGACTGTCTGTTTTTGCAGGTTTTTTTGTGGCGAAGTATATATAACATAAAATTTAACATTCTAGCCATTGTTTTCAGTGTAGTGTTCGGAGACATGAAGTGCATTCACATTGTTGTGCAACCTCTATCCATCTCTGACCTTTTCATCACCCCAAATTGAAACTCTAATCCATTGTTGTAATAATGCCAATTCTCATTCTTGTTAGTCACTTTTGTCATCAAAGGAGATCTTAAACATGTAACATGCAACATTAAATAGTAGTAGAAGGTATTGTCACAAAGATACAAATTCAGAATTTTAGGGAGAATTCGTTCAGAGTCAATTCCCTAAGATTACAGATACAGAAATTAAGGGTCATAGAAGTAACATACATGACTTGCCCAAAGTCTCACAAGTGATAGGAACAGATTGGCTCTAAAGCCATTCTATCCTGTCTTTTTAAGTTTCTTTCATAGTATACTGATCTTCACATCATGGCCATGACTCAAACACACTTCATGATACTGAAGTATACCACTTGAATATTTAATATTGAAGGAAAAAGATAAACCACTACATATAAAATGATTGTTTATGATTGAAATAGCTTGGTTAAAAAATTAACCAAAGTAACTATATCTGAAAATAAGTATGTAGATCTAATGGTTGTTTGAGTTTTCATGAAGTTTAACAGATTGAGAATTCTGTACACTGAATTTAGGCCTGACATTACAGAGGAAATGAAAACATACATAAAACCTTGTCAAAAAACTTACATTTTAGTTATAACAAATAAAATATGAATTAGATGGAGAAATCTAAAATTTCTGATATTAGTCATTCTCCCTTCAAAGTAAATATATCAATAAGATATTTAAAGAAATTCTTGTTTTGAGGGAAAAGATCTTAAAATGTCTAAGACATAAGTGAGCCAGAAAAATAATTTGTTTAAAAACTGCATAACTCTACAGAGGATATTTTTAAAAAAAAAATTTTTTTTGAGACAGAGTCTCACTCTGTCGCCCAGACTGGAGTGCAGTGGCGCCATCTTGAGTACAGTGGTACCAACTCGGCTCACTGCAATTTCTGCCTCCCAGGTTCAAGTGATTCTCATGCCTCAGCCTGCCGAGTAGCTGGGATTACAGGCACGCGCCATTGCGCCTAGCTAATTTTTGTATTTGTAGTAGAGACATGGTTTCACCATGTTGGCCAGGCTGGTCTTGAACTCCTGACCTCAGGTGATCCACCCACCTCAGCCTCCCAAAGTGCTGGGATTACAGGCATGAGCCACAGTGCCCGGCCAAAAAAAAAGTTTTTAATAGTGTTACAGATCACATAAAAAGTTACTGTTAACAATTTTTGAATAGTGTGAAAATTCAAAATCAAAGTTCCTCTTACCTATTGAGAGAACTATTCAAAGCAATTCTCTGCTTTTGTAAACAACTAAGTTCACTGTCCAAATCTACCTTATTACTGTCCTATAAATTAAAAAGCAGAACATTTTCTGAACTACTCATATATAAAAAAACTCATCCATTTCATTATCTTAATATTACTTTCTGTACATTAATTTTCACTTAGAGCATTGTAGCTACCAATTATTGGAGCTAGGGCTTCTTTAGCATCCATTATTGCTGTTCCTCTCAACAACTCTAGGAGAGTTTTACATTACAGATAAGGAGACAAAAGCTAAGAGTTGTTGTCATTAATACATGGCCAAGCAGCTACTTTTATTTCTTTCAAACAGGTTTACACCAAGTAGAATAAACAATGAACAGCACTGATAGTCACAATTAGTATGTAGAGATATGAAGTTGGTGATATGCTTCCACTTCATTATGAAAGATATAATAAATAAATTTGAGCAATATCTAGAATCCTAGTCCACAAATTTTACTAAATGTAGGGTTTCTAACAGAAAATCAAACAACTCAGTTCAGAGTTTGTGTCAAAATTCAGAACTTAGTTCTGAATCCACTTTGCTATTATTTAGCAAAGGCAAGTTATTTCACTTTTGTGTGCCTGTTTCTTCACCTATTATGCAGAGGAAAGTTCCGTTTGACTTATCACAAGCTTGTTGTGAAAGAGAAATGTAATTCATAAAAGAGCTTTAGAAAAAAAAGCAGCTTTTAAAAAATAAAAATATGGAAGCCCTTTAGAACACACTAGAACTTAATCATGTCTCTATCAGGCAGAGTTTGTTTTCTTATATATAAAATGCAGACACTGGATTAGATGATCTCCAATAAGTATTAACCCCTTCAAAAACCAAAAACCTCTACTTTTTTATGGGTACATTACCAGGGGATATGAGTAGAACCAATAAACAGCAGAGGCCAAAAAAGGCTTGACTAGTAATCTCTCCAAATAAAATGAGAGTCAACTGTCTCCCTCAAAGAAAAAAACCTGGAGTTCTGCTGACAGGGGCAAAAGTGGGAACTGACAAAAGTGGGAACAGCCAAAAGAAATGTGCTTTTGGCTGTTGTAGATTACCCATGTAATATAGACAGCTAAGGATAAGATGGTCTTCCTTCTGAAGCCACAGTGCAACTCTAAGACATCAAATCCTGGCTTAGATACTGGCTTAGAACATATTTGGTAAAGATCCTCAACTTCAACAAGGGGGAAAACCAACCATGACTACAGCCTGGTAAATATAATTCAGCTAGAAAAAACAATGAGGAAAAAAAGGTAAGACATCCAGAGAAAGCTACCTGCAGAAAGTTTAAAGAAGACAATACAATGCAGAAATCCTTCTAGGTTGTTCAAGTTTTGGCTAGATGTCATATCTAGGTTCATTAGAAATTTAGATTTTTATTAACTCATTTGTGTCTTTTTTTTTTTGAGACAGAGTCTCGCTCTGTCGTCCAGGCTGGAGTGCAATGGCGCCATCTGGGCTCACTGCAACCTCTGCCTCCTGGGTTCAAGCAATTCTCCCTGCCTCAGTCTCTGGAGTAGCTGGGATTACAGGCACCCACCACCATGCGCAGCTAATTTTTGTACTTTATAGTAAAGATGGAGGGGTTTCGCCATGTTGACCAGGCTGGTCTTGAACTCCTGACCTCAGGTGATTCGCCTGCCTCAGCCTCCCAAAGTGCTGGGATTACAGGCGTGAGCCACTGCACCCGGCCTATGTCTACGTTTTTGACAGATTAAGTTTTCTTTCAACTTCCTAGAAGCTTATGCTTAAAACTTCCAACCTAGTCCCTGCTGAAGTTCCCAAGCAGAAACTCGTTAACCCAGCTCCAAAGCTGGCCATGAAAAGATCTGTTAATAGGAATCCTCTGAAATTATATGTAAAACATTTGTTTATACTTTTTTTTTCTGAGAAGGGGATCCCAAGCATTCATTACCTCAAACCAAGTCACTTACTGGGTAATAACCTGAGGGTAGCTGTGGAGACTAATCTCTTTTAGCCTAAACGTTTTCTTTACATTGCATTTCAACACTCTCAAGAGAGGAAATCTCAGGGTAAAAGAGCCTCACTCAATGGCATTTATTGACTTACACGGGGTTATATCCTGACAAACCCATTGTAAACTGAAAATACCCTTAAGTTGAAAATGCAGCCCAGCTTCTGATAAAAGAATCCCTAGGGCTTAAAGTCTAATACCTTGTGGTTATGTATTGTTTTCACACCACCATAAAGTTGAAAAATCCTAAATTAAACCATCATTAAATTGAGACTGTCTATATTTACTAAATAATAATTTTTTTAATTAGCCACAAGGCAACCTCACCTATAAATCACCAGGTAATTAAAAGGATAAACCCCTAGCTAAGAAAGTGACCTAGTAAGACTCTGGTGTATCTTAACAGGAAATATCTAACAAATGAAGATTGAAACGAAGCAAATTAGCCTAATGTTAAATGTAAAACCTAATCTTTCCCATGTAGCTGTTATCACAGGCTTTTCTTGAAGAAAATTAGTAACATGCTTATAAGAAAAAAATAATAATTTGATTCATTAATTCACTTAAACTGTGATGCCACTTACTTTGATTATAACAATCACTGTCTTTCCCAGCTGCAGTTCTAGCTTGTTTAATTATCTGGAATTGTGAGTCCTTATCTGCCAAAAAAAAAAAAAAATCCATAAATACAATATGAATCATCAGTGACCACAATTAAATGATTAACTGGTTTCTGATCCAAGCTCTCTGGGCATGTGGACAGACCTTCCAAAATCTTAAGAAACATCCACATCCCTGTCTACAAAATCTGAACACAGAATCCTTTCAGATTTATCTACAGCCTAGTAAGTAACCAGACTTCAAGCAGTTCACGCCTATAATTAGGCACACAGCAGCAGCAGCGACAAATTTTAGCGATCAGTAATAGCTAACTATTATTGAAGCCTGTGTTGTAATGGTCACAACTCTGTGACCCCCTAGCTGCCTCCAGATAAGCGCCTGACACTATTCTAAAAATATTACACATATCACTTAATTCTCACAAAGTGCTACTATAACCACCTCCACTTTAAAGAAATTTAGGCAACAAACAGGTTAATTACCTTGCTGAAAGTCACATCTGTTCATGATAAAAACAGGAGGTGAATCAGGACATTTTTTGCCAGAGCCCAAGACTTTAACCTCTATATATGCTGTGAATCCCTGGAACAAATGTCCATCTTCAGTCTGTGTCACAAGCTCAAATTTTTGTTTTAACTGAGAAGGAAGGTGTCTGCTCTACTGTACAAAGCTTTGTAAGGTTTTCACTGCCTATTAACACAGGCCTGGTCTCTAAACTTCAGATTTTGTGAATTAGTTTCCTTGTACATTAATTAATTCTACATTCTCTTAAGGTACTAAATGTCCTTCCTAATTATAAGCATACTTAAAAAATCCACTCTTTTGATAATGGAAAGATGGAAAATCAATACCTACACTAAGATATTTTTAAATTATACTTAATACTTACTCAAAGTAATTGAAGGTATCTTCACATTCTCATAGAAAAACTCAGCATTATACATTTCACCCTGAACAGTAAAAAAAACAAAAAAACAAACAAAAAAAAAAACAAAAAAAAAAACCTTAGTGTTAAGTATCAGATAATTGACTATTTTAAGATTTGACAGAAACAATAGATCAGTATTACTTATTTCTCACAATTTGTGAAATTAGGAAAGTGCCATCCTACCTTTCAAATAAAGGCTATTATTTTATGTCAGAGAGCCTCATAATATAACTTCTAAAATTGTGAATTAATGTGTGAAACGCATGACATATATATAACATAGTAAATATATGGTACCTATGACATATATATAATATGGTAAATATATGGTACCTCTTCTTCTTTGGTATAGCCCATTTTCCTCAATCTACAAGATGCCACATGCTTTGCTAAAGACGATTTAGGCATGTGATGATTGGAATCATAAGGACATATCACAACTTCATCCTATAAAAAAATAAAACAGAAACAAAGAAAATAGGTACATAATATTTAAATAATTATTCCCATTAAATGTTTACTATTTAATTATCTAACAGTACTGTCTAGTGCATCATCTTCTACAGGCCTCTCTCAACCCCCATGTGGGTATGCATTGAAGAAAAAAAAAAAAAAAAACATCCCTTCAACCCCTAACCCCCTAAATGCCCGTCTTCTCTCTACTCCTTCAAAGCCTAGCTCTCTGAAAGATGTGTTTACATTCACTGTTTAAACAACCTCACCTACAACCATTCCTCACTCACTGCCCCACTGAAACCAGTCAATAGGTCACTAACAACCTTGCTACTAAAACCAAAGAATATGTCACTGTCTTGTCATATCTGAACTCTTAGAAGGTCACACCCCAATTGTCCATTTGTCATCCTGACACATACCTCACGTTCTTTCTACTTCTCTGGCTCCTTCTACTTGATCTCCTCTAAATATGTGTCTTCCTTGCTCTATTTGTCCCCCTTTAGATGCTCGTTTTCATGTAAGTATTAATATAACCACTGACTTTACTATTTAATATATGCTTACTGAAAGATCTCAAGGCTACAAGTCTCACTAAAGTAAGGACTCCCAAAATTTAGATCTTTATACCTTGTTTCTCTCCAGTACCATACACTAAAGACACTAAAAGTGCAACATGAACAAAAATAAATTCATTATATTTATCATCTCTTATCCCTCAAACCTATTCCTCTTGTACTTTTCTATTTCAGTGAAAGGTCCCACCTGCTCAAGCAAGAAACCACCTCTTTTCCCTCATCACCCACATCCAGTCAATCACCTAGTACTGCCAATTTAACTCCTAAATATCTCTGAAAATCCCCCAGCATCTTCCATTTCCACTGCCACTTCGCAAATTCAGGGTATCAACATCTGTCTCCTGAAATACAGCAGGCATCTCCTGACTGCGCTTGCTCAATCTCTCTCATGTTCTCCCCCACCCCATCCAGTCTTGCTGCCCTCCCCTTCATTCTCCATCCTGTAGCTGGTTTGAATTCCAGCTCTGCCACTTACTGTCTGCATGAAACTGGGTAAAGTACTTAATCTCTCTTTGCCTTATTTTCCTCATCTATTATATAAAATGAAAATAATAGCAGGACCTCTCTTACAAAGTGATTGTGAAGATTTAAAAAACTATACTTAAGTTTATACACATAAAGGAATTCAAATAGGACCTGGTACATAGCAAGCATCCAATAAATGTAAGCAATTATTATTTTATTAAAAGGTAAATATGATTATGATATGCCTGGCTTAAAATACTTCCATATTTCCCCACTGCCTTCATTAAAAAAAAAACAAAACAACCTAGATTTTCTAACATAGCTGACAAACACCTTTGAGATCTGGCCTCTACCCACCATCATCATTCTGCTCTAACTCCACAATCTGTGCTCTAGCTATCCTTAACTACTGAGACTTCCTCATTTGGTCACTCCCTTCTCTCTGAACTTCTACACATGCTGTTGATGCTTCCCCTCACCCCTCACCCTCCTGCTTCACCTAGCTAATTCAGCTCACTTTTATTTATCGGCTTAGAATTCACTTTGTCCAGGGAGCCTTCATTGACCACAACTTTGTCCACCACAGCCTACAATAAAGTATACTACGGCAAGTCTAACTCCACCCATCATAGACCCATGATAACAATGGTTGAGTTCTCTGTATTCTCCCTCACCACCACCAGACAACAAGCTCGGTCAGGACCAGGAACTATAACTGTTGTTCACTAAATTCAGTACTAAAACACTGGTGGAAATGGGAAGATTCACTATTGGATTGCACTCATTCTAAGAACTATGGATGTCACTAAGCAGTATTTTCAAACCAAGTCATTCTCCTGACTATCCAATATTGGTTTTGCAAAAATTAGATGTAAACCCACAGCGGATGGTCAGAATTTGGGAATTTTACAAGAGTTTTAAAGAGGCAGCATAGCGATCAAGCACAGACTCACAGGAGCCACAACCTGAGTTCAAATCCTACCTGCCATTTACTAGCAGTGTATTCTTGGACAAATTATCACCTCTATGTCCCTTTCCTCATCTATAAAATGTGGCCAACAATACCTACTTCATAGGGTTATTATGAGTATTGAATGAAGTAATGTATTGTAAGTGGCTCAAAGTGCTATTTAAATGTTAATACAAGGAATCCAATGTTACTGCAATGCTGAGTAAACAATGTATAAAAAGGTCTGGTAAGCCCCACTCCAATGGAATTCCCAGCTTCAAACACTTCTCTAAATGAACAATAAAGATTTTTTAAATTTCCACTATGCTTTTAATACAATAAATAATGAATGGTATACACAGAAATCAAATATATTTTAAAGGTCTCTGGGGAATCAGTGATGTCACTTAAACCCAGGAAAAATTATTACAGCCTGGTAAACCCAGAAATAATACTAAAAATAATGAATTACCCCAATTGGAGCACTTCCCTTCCTCTCAGACCACCAAAAAACACCCCACAAACAAAAATCATGATTGTTCACTCTAAATACACTTGCCTACATTTTTTAAAAAGCCATTCTAATGTCCACGAGAGTTGCCAGTTACCATCTCTTGGTGATATCCTTTAATAATCCTAGAATCGGTGCTGTCCCAGTCAGAAATGTCCAATTTTAAGGCATAGAAAGGCTAACTGGCAAACTTCCAGCTCTCCTGACAGGAATCTGGTGCAACTGCGGAATCCGTATGACAGATGACAATGCAAACCGCCAATCCTGCTGCAGCGCTCTGAGACCCATTCACTTACTTTCTAAATAAATACCAAATCTGCCATTCCCTCCTCACTCATCGCATCTTGACCTGAGTTTTGTTTGTTTGTGTTTTGAGGCAGGGTCTTGCTCTGTCGCCTAGGATGGAGTGCAGTGGAGCCATCTCCGTTCACTGCAGCCTAGAGGGCCTAGCGATCCTCCCGCCCCCGTCTCCCGAACAGCTGGAGCCACAGGCTCACACCACCACACCCGGCTAATTTTTGTACTTTTGGTAGGCAAGAGGTTTCACCATTTTGCCCAGGCTAGTCTCGAACTTCTGGGCTCAAGCGATCCTCCCGCCTCGGCCTCTCAAAGTGCTGGGATTACGGACGTGAGCCACCGCGCCCGGCCCCTCTTTTTCTTTAAACTCGAAGTTCGGCGGGAGCGCCGCACAGGAGGTCACCGTGGAGCCTTCGGGAGGCCCTCGCGCGCCCCAGCCCGGGACCCAGAGACGTCGGGGTTGCTCTAGCGCCCGCGGCACCCCTCCGGTCCCCAGCACCCACCGCAGCGCTGCATACGAACGGGGACTCCTCGGCCTTCCCTCCGCGGCTTTCCAGTGCGGATCTCCCTGTGCCACAGAAGACCACGGGCCGACAGTCCCCGAAACGGCCCCGCAGCCGCGCCCCTCACCTCCGCCGCCTCCTCTTCCCCGGGATCCAGACTATCCAGGTCCCAGCCCAGGGACGTCGTCACCTCCTCCAGCGTCCGGCAGCAGCTCTCCACGAACTCGCTCAGCTCCTCCTGCAGCTGCCGCCGCTCCTCCACAGGTGGAGGCTCCCCCTCCATGGCTGCAACCCACCAGCCAGGAGGAAGCGACCGAACCGCAGACGTCGCGCGCGGGCTTCTGGGAGCTCTGGGTGGGGCCAAGCCGCCACGTGACTGGAACAGCCTATAGGGAAGAGCCCCGAGAAGGGCGGGATTGTTATTTTGAAAGGCGTTTTCCGATGTTTTCTCAGCTCGCGGCTGCTTTTGCGCTGTCCTTCCCTGAAAGACCTTCGCCCTCCTGCACTTTTTCAGAAAAAATGGTTTATAACTACAGAAAAGTTTTTTAAATAGTACAATGAGCTTTCGCGTATCCGTGCTTCAGCTCACTGTGAACATTTTGCCACCTTTCTCTCCATCTCGTCTCTCCACATTCAAAGCCTCACCCACTTATTTTTGATGAATTCTAAGTTGCAGATTCTTCACCCCCAAATACGTTAGCATACATGTTCTGAGAACATTTTCCTGCGTAACGCAATACATGATCAAATCTAAGAAAATCAGTAATTTCATAAAATCATTTATTATACAGTTCATATTCCAATATCCCCATTGTCCCCAAAATTATTTCTATAGCAGTTTTGTTTTTCAACCCGTGAGCTATAGTTATTGTCTCTTTCAATCCATAATTCAGATCAGCCTCCTTCACCCTTTTTTTTTTTTTTTTGAGATAGAGTCTTGCTCTGTAGCCAGGATGGAGTGCAGTGGCACAATCTCAGCTCACTACAACCTTTGCCTCCTGGGTTCAAGCCATTCTCCTGCCTCAGCCTCCCGAGTAGCTGGGACTACAGGCACGCACCACCATGCCTACCTAATTTTTGTATTTTTAGTAGAGACGGGGTTTCTAGATGATGGGCGGGATGGTCTCGATCCCTTTACCTTGTGATCCCCGCGTCTCAGTCTTCCAAAGTGCTGGGATTACAGGCGTGAGCCACCGCGCCCGGCCCACCCTCATTTTTAAATTAAATCATTAAATGTGATGAGCCTAGGCAGTTGTCTTGTAGAATGTCCCTCATTCTGGATTTGTCAGATTTTGTTTCCCTCATAATTAGACTCAGTTTGAGCACTTTTGCAAGAATACTACGTAAGAGATGTTGTGTACCTCTTATTACAACCCAGGGGGATGCATATGTAAATTATATTAGTAATGCTAAATTTTTTCGCTTGGTAAAGGTAGTGGCTACATCTCTTCATTCTAATGGTACATTTTCCCCTTAGGAATTGGTAAGCAATTTGTGGATTATACCTTGAGACCCTAAGAATACCCTGTTCCCCAACTACTTTATACAGTCCTTCACTGAATCTGTTGTTACATAGGAGTTATAAATGATTCTGTAATAGTATCATGCCTTCTATGTTTATTAACTGACATTCTTTCCACACCTCCATTTTAGTGTTTTCTTTGCTAAGGAATCAAGGTGCTTTTAAAGTTATTGATTTAAGGTTTTTTAAATTCAATATAATATTATTGAATTTTAACATCATAATTCTTGTTGATGGTCAAATTGTCCCAAATATGGCCAGTGGAAGCCACATTAAGCCATATGTGTCTTTGACGTATCCCTATTAGGCCTTGAATGCTTTCTCGCTTTGATAACACAAGCTTAACTTTGTACATTTCCTACCCACAACCTGGAATTAACCTTTGTAGTTTCCCCAAGTGGTTTTAACTCTCAGAATCTAACCCATTTTCGATTACTTTTTAAAAATTTTTCAAGCCCGAGTGTCAAACCTTGGTTTCCTTTTGCACTTTGTTTACCCCTGTGAAGAAACTGTGGAGGAATTTTTTGGTGAACAATTATTTCTAAAGGCAGATAGCACAGTCCTCACCTCAAAATTAAATGGTCATAAGACTATGAATAGGCAGCACCATAAAATACAGAAGTGGGCTAGAAGCTGGTAAGAGAGGAGTATGGAATTAATGTATCCATAGTCTGCCCACGGTATCCTTTTTATTTGTATTTCCATAATTAGCCGGTTGGTCTGGAAAATGTGAGACTATCTCTGATGTGACCTGACTCCTGATAAAAAGTTCTAGTGTCTGTTTCCCTGTTTGTGTATGTGAACCAAATTAAACCTTAGGCCCGGTCAAACATATCCTCTCTTCAGGATGCAGCCCATGTCATCTCAGAGCTTCACGACAACTTTGGCAGAGGGAGTAGGAAAGAATTGTCAGTTGACTGTACTCTGTAGTTACTGTTTCAGCTGGAGGAACTGCTCTACACTGATGCTGAACTGTTTTGATATCACTCTCCTGGAGTGGTCTCCAGACTCCTGTCCTAGGCTAGGCCTCTGTTATGGATTGGATTGGGTCCCTAAAAAATTCATGTTTTAAGTACTAATCCACAATGTGATTGTATAAAGAGATAGGGCCCTAAGAGGTAATTAAGGTTACATGAGGTCATAAAGAAGGGAGAGGTACTCTCATCAGATAAGACATAGCCACCTATGAGCCAGGTCTCACTAGAAAGCAACCTGCCTGCACCTTGATCTTGTACTTTTGGCTCCAGAACTGAAGGAAAATACACTTCTGTTGAAGCCACTCAGTCTGTGGCATCTTGTTATGGTAGGGTGAGGTGACTAATACGGTCTCTCAGCTCTAGCATAAGGGATTTCCTTCATTTTTCCCAACACAGCATTTACATTTTTCTTCCTCCTTTTGGATTATGAGGGCTATTTTTGCACCATGTATTTCTAGCATAGACTCCGTGGCTTCTGGTACAATGCATGGCACAAGAACTCAGTATTTGATGCATAAAATTAATCTCAACTCCTCCAAATTGGGAGAGGGAGGAAGAGGAAGAGGTGAGATAAGGAAGAGTGTTGTGGAAGAAAAATGGCCCGAGCAAAAACAATGGAGGTGATTTTCGCCCTAAGTACCAAAAGCCCAAATGATTTGTCTAATCTTAATGATCTTTTTTGTTCTATACAATTAGCATTGTTTTCCTATTTTCTACCTGTACTTTAAAATTTGATTGCATTATACTGCTGGCATTTGAAAGCTGTCCCACTGATTGCTTTATCTGTTTCTGTCCCCACCCAGCTTGCAACCGCTTTGTCGTCAGGAGGCTTGTAAGTTATGCTCTGTCTTCATACCTACCCCAGTACTAGACATAGTAGGTATTCAGTGAAGTCATGTTAATCTAACGACAAATGTGTGAATTTTAGTAGTTTCTCTTCGATCCAAAGGAATAGGCTTATATCAATCTTTATACCTACCCCAATACTAGACATGGTAGGTATTCAGTGAAGTCATGTTAATCTAATGACAAATGTGTGCATGTTAGCAGTTTCTCTTTGATCCAAAGGAATAGGCTTATATTTCCTTGTCTTTCAAAGGAGAGCCAAGAACTCTTCAGAAATCCTTTTCATGGGTTCCAGGACAATTCTTTCCTCTTAAAGGACAAAATGAAACACAATCTCTTTTTGAGGATATCCAAAAAGGCACCTTAGCAACTTCATGTTTTTTCAATGCTATGATGGTGACTTTTGCCAATGCTGCTTGGTACTCAGTGTCCAGAATAAACTAGAACATGGTATTGACCTCTAGGCTGGCCTCCTTACACAGTACTTCTTTCCAAGGACTCCACTGGGTGTATGACAGGCATCTGAGAAGTGCTAAAGGACTACCTTCAAAAGATCACCTTCTAATAAGAATGCGGAACCAAATTGTTTTTCTTGAAATGGAGTCTCGCTCTGTCAGCAGGTTGGAGAGCAATGGCGCAATCACAGCTCACTACAACCACCGCCTCCTGGGTTCAAGCAATTCTCCTGCCTCAGCCTCCAGAGTAGCTGGGATTACAGGCATATGCCACCACACCCAGCTAATTTTGTATTTTTAGTAGAGACGGGGTTTCACCATGTTGGCCAGGATGGTCTTGATCTCCTGACCTTGTGATCCACCTGCCTCGGCCTCCCAAAGTGCTGGGATTACAGGTGTGAGCCACTGCACCCGGCCAGAACTAAATAGTTTTTTAATGGTATTTCTTCATAGGTATTTAGTAAACAAATGTTTTTAGACCTATATTATGATGAAAAGCTACTGCTAAATATTTATACATGTTTAAAAACATCATTAAATTAAAACACAAAACCTTCAAAAGTCTAAAAGTTTATTGCCAGAATAGCAAACTTCATAAAGACACCTTTTTAAAGTACATCGAAAATGACAAGCAAAATAAACAGAAAACTTTGACCAAAGAAAAGCAAAGATTGTTGCTGTCATGCACATACAGTCAAATTAATACCAAAGCAAACAAGTACATGAAAGAGAATATGGGTTATACAATCCACACTCTAAAACTAAAGGAGACTCACTCCAAAATGCTTGGGTTTGGGTTGTGGGTTTGAGAGGGGGGCTGGTGCTGGGAGGGTAATTATCTCCTAATACAGCAAATGGAAATACTTATAGATGAGAAGCAGAATGACTAAAATATCAGTGATCCATTTAATTTTTATCTCCAAGAATAGAAAACTGTATTATAGGCTTCCAAAGTTAAAGAACTGATTTTAAAAAAACACACACACAGAGGAGAAGAAACAAATTCTAAGTTCAATTTGTGCTGTTGTTACAACTGATTGGCACTTCAGACGCACTGCATCCAAATGTACTACTTATTTAAGATGAGCTAAGAAGATTAAAAAGTCAGAAGAGCCTTTACTATTTGATTTAAACCACGGCTATGTTATCTGTAAGCATAGAACATCCTATCACTCTACTGCAAGCACCGGGATTTTCTTTTTTATTATTTAATAAAGTGGAAATTAATATAAATGAAACCAAGGTATAGCGACCACTCCCAACTGACTACTAGTGCCCAATAGAGCTACTGCTAAATGAGTAGGAGTAAGAGTAGGAAGAATTCCCTGTGGCGTCAAAGCTCCCTCTCCGGGACCCACTGCGGGACCCAGAGCGAGATCCAGAGCGAGATCCCGAGCGGGAGCCGGAGCGGGAGCCCGGAGCCGAAGACATGTTGTAAGGGCTGGGTAAGCCCTTGGACGACACGGAGGCGGCTTCCAGAAGGCGCAGCCCAGTGATGTCTTCTACCATGGAGCGATTTATGGCATCCTTATAAGAT